CATTTTCCATCATTTCACTGTTACGTTTGGTTGCAAATATCCTTTTTGCCCTAGATGCTTTAGGTTTAAATATAAGCTTAAAAAATAATTGAAAAAATTTTGTTTGGGTGCACAGTATGTGCATTTTATAAGACTAATGAAACTAAATAATTAGTGCAGAAAATTTTGACATAAATTTTGAAAATAAAATAAATGTAATAAATTAAAATTTTTATTTCAAATTTTAATAGGACAATGGATTTTTTTATCGGGAGCATTCATAAAAAAAATGTTATGAACATTGGTAGTCCTATCTTTATATGAATGCTCCTCATTTTTATGACTTTTTTTAAAAAAATAAATACGTGTTTTTTATTTCATGATCTAAAAATATTTTTGGGATAAATAATGCATCGCACAACAAACTCATAACTATAATAGTCTCATGCGAGAAGCTTTTATATTTTTAATAATGTAATTCATGAATTTCTTTGTTCATCCAAGGGTAAAATGGTCATTTTTATGGAAAATAGACGGTCAACTAACGGTCAACTGATGGGAGGGGTATGCAAGGGATCAAAATCAAATTTTGGGGGTATACAAGGAAGTAAGCAAAATTCAGGGGTATAGAAGGGATTAGGTAAAATTTCAGGGGTATATAAGAGATTTTCTCTTGTACTGGAGGGCATCCGTGACAAGTCAATGGTAGGAGTAAACGATATTAAACCTGTCAGTCCTGTCAGGGTTGAAGTAATTTTTAGTATTTTTGGCATGCGCTGAAATTCTTGGTCAGTTCGAGTGCAAATTAAATACTTCCAAGCTTCACGTTTTCATCTTTTAAGGACTAAAACTGAAGTTGACCATGGAAATTACAAATGCCATGCTTGGGGGAGTTTACTTTCTTACAAAGAGTTTGTTCTTTTTTTTGTCACTTTGGTAACGATAGCTTTATGGATTTGTTTGTTGTTGAGTTGGATTATGAAAACTTTGTTTGGTGCAACTACTTATTATACGGGTGTCTGGTTGAATAATGTTTTTTTTCCTTTTCTTTTTAACCTAAGAAACATATGTTTGAGAGAGCAACTACACTTGCATACAAATTTGTGTCTAACCTTAATTAGACTGAGCATTTATACCTATACTAATTGGTCACTCTAAGGATACTCACAAGCTACAGAAAGAACCGGCTGTTAATTTGATGGGTTGGATTATCATGACCCTAGATTATGTTGAGTAGTCCATGCTAATATATAAATCAGCTAATTGGAAATACTATGTCGCTGTTTGGGGGAGCTTGTCCCAGCTGTAGCTTTTCCCAAAAGCTGCTTCTGCTAGAAACTGCCCCTAACAGTCCACAGCTTTTGAGAATATGTAGTTAAAGATTCTGAAAAATAAACTAAGAAGCCAGAAGCTGGGTTTCAGAGCTTTTCCAGATTCTTAGAAGCTGGCTACCAAACAGCTACTTTTCAGAATCTAAAGCTCCCCAAACAGGCCCTATGTTTTCTAGCTTGAGCCAACTCGATCTGGCTCACGAGCCTCTTCACTTGAACAGTTGCGAAACAGACAAGCAATGATAGACATTGGAGAGATTGAAGCATAGGTGGAGGCCAAGTCTAGCGCACCACGCCCCTTACCCAGGCATTCGAACTTGTGACTCATAGGTTGTAAACTACACCTGCGAGGACAAGCTGGCAAGGAGCGGCGACGTTATTTCCAATTTCAATTGAGGGGGAAGCGACTAGTTGGTTGCGTTGTCAGCGTAGGCGTAAGTCAATATTGTGTAATCGTACAAATGTGGCTCCCTTCTACGCTATTTTCTGTGTGCATGACTTGGCGGTGTAGCATGAGTATGCACTCCTGTTGCGCTGTCATCTGCCCCAAAAGAATAGAGAGAATTAGGGTTTTTACTAGTGCTTATCTTTGAGCTAGACAAATAAACCAAACTATAATAGGCTGGCTAGCGCGAGCTACCGAATAACTCATGAGCTAGCTCGAACCCAGCTCATTCTAGAAATGAGGTTCGGAGGAGGCTTTGGCTCTGCTCGTTTGGCTATCGATCGAGCCAAACCAAACCAATATAAGCCTGAGTGTTTTTTCCTACCCCTACAAAGGTTTAAACTCTTACCATAAGCACAGTTGAAGGCTATCACAAAATACAAGTTTGGTAACTAGTACTCCATTTCAAAAAATAGATTTATTCTCTTTTCTTTTCGAATATAAGTTGAATGAAATTACGTGGTTTCTTTGAAACGTCAGAAATCAGTTTAAATAACTCTTTACAGCGTCGATCGCTCTGTCCAGCTACCATTTCACAATTTTTATGGGATAATAGCAGCATGACCGGTAGACACATGCACATATCACGATGATATCATATCTTTTTTCAACGACCAAAATGAATTTTGGTCGGTATAACGTGGTTGCACGCATATGGTTAGTTGCAGGCATTAACGAACGTGCTCCGAGACAATAGATACTACAAAATGATTGATTCCAATGATCATGGATATGATCGAGGTAATTAAACATGTACTCCCTCCGTTTCAAAATGTTTGACACTGTTAACTTTTTAGCACATATTTGACCGTTCGTCTTATTCAAAAACTTTTGTGAAATATGTAAAATTATATGCCTACATAAAAATATATTTAACAATGAATCAAATGATAGGAAAAGAATTAATAATTACTTAAATTTTATAAATAAGACAAACGATTAAATATATGCTAAAAAATCAACGGCGTTAAACATTTTAAAACGGAGGGAGTACATCTATGTATTCGTGGATGCAACTATGAAAGGCATGCTCGACTGTGACCGTGTCGGCGAGCCACGTAGTCCTCCGTATCCATTTGTCGTATGCTTCCTGTATTTGTACTGTTATTTCTCGCTCCATAATGCATTTGACACGTATTTTATTTTTCTTGCGTACGGGCTCGGTGCTCACGAAATAAAAGCGACGGAAATACTATTGCAGTTTGGTTTCTAGCTGGCTTATCTGCCCGTGACTTCCGTCTCCTAATCCAACCCAACGTCATAGAGTAGAATATGAAGATAATGGATTTCTATACATCACTGGAGTAGAAAAAAAAAGAGATGAAAAAAGAGAAGCGAACTGAGTAACTAATAAGCTGGTAAGGCTCCTTGCACTGAAACCTAATCGCCCATATTTAAATATCAGATTTAACAGATGTGTTTGTATTTATAAATAATTATATTTTTTCATTGGTAGTCGACAATGTAGTTTTCAGTGGTGTATTTGGAGAAGTATTCATCGATACATACTCCCTTTGTTTCGTATTATAATACATATTTTCTAAATAAACTTTTTTTGAAACATTTTTTTCTAAATAAACTTATTTAAATGTGATCAGTTTTTTAGAAATTTTTTTTTATAATATGAAACATAGTATATTCCATAAATCGATAAGCTAAAAAGAACACTCCCAGTTCTCCATAAGTACTCATATGCATCTTCCATTAAAGTAACGACAAGTGTCCTCTTTTAAACCTTATACGAAACCAAACCAAATATCGCGTTTGGCCATCATTGGTATTTATGGTGAAGTTGTCGCTAATCAGATCACTGTTAGCGAGTCTCTGCAAGGAAAACGATACATTTCTTCTTCTCGCGTTTTTCTTTAAGCATTTTGGCTTGTCCATGGTGCTATAAGTGGTACACATTAGCAATGATGTGGTGTGCAGGGAAGGGGATGGGGCAATGACTAGGGAGTGTGTCATGAAGATAACGGTGGTGTGACACGAAAAATAATTGTATTATAGGGCTGCTGTATGACACGCAGTGGAAAGAACCGAGAGATTCGAAAAATACCATGATATTTATAAGGGGTAGAAATCATATTCTCCTAAACCTTCCATTTTTATATTATCACAGCGACCATATTAATATTTTTTTACCAGCTCAATTACTAGAAACTTTTATCTTTTTTTTTTGCAAAACAGGGCAGCTCATATTAAATTATAAAAGAGATTACAACTCTTTTTGTTGCAATATCTGGAAATAAAAGAACTACCAACACAGAACAAGGAGGCTCCACATATTGAAATACCGCAAGAGATATGAGCAAATGAGTGTAGCCACAATGCTGACATTGTAACACACGCAAAAACATGTAAAATGAATATTGCTCACCATATTCATATATCCTTCGACAAAAGAGCAAACCAATACCACCGAACAAGTCGACAATTTGGAACCTAAAACTAACGCCAACAATGTAATATTTGATGACCGACAGGCAAGTCTCCTTGATTTCCATCGAGGACCTCACGAATGAAGTAGCCAGCAACACATAGATTAAAAAAGACAAGAAAAAATCTAAATAGATTTAATTCCATGAAAAACATGAAAGGCAAACCTTAGACACCAAATAGTTCCAACCTACATTGAAAAAAACTCAAAAAACTTACGAGAAGCTGTCCCCTTCCTCATCGTATCCGGCGAGGACAGAGGAGAGGGGAGGGGTAATATGTGTCCAATAATAAAACTGATTTTTTTTTAATAAATCGGTCGTAACTCGTAACGGTAGAGACCACGGTAAGAATGTTAGGGCAGTACTGTCACGTACGTTAGCTACCTATATGAGCGAGAGGAGGGATATATACACGTGTTAACAATCCAAGCACGGTGGGTGTTGAGATCCGACGGTTTACGAAAACCGACCGACTTTCTGCAAGCGATGGTTGACTTGTACATAGTAATGATTGGCAGGTAATGACGTACTGCACTGTACGAGAGTGTACCTCCCCAACATGCCATAACCGCCCTGCCAAGATGCGATTTGACAATAGGAATTCTCGTTTACCGAGGCTTAATCTCCATTCCTCCACGATTCGCTCCAGCGCCATGTGACTAGACCGAGCTAGCTCGCTCGATCGATCTCTCACATACACACGGCACGCACGTCGGGTGCAACGACTTATCGGTGCCAAGTTGCCGATCGATCCGGTTTTTTTCGTTTTTGCCAGTTAGCCTAATTCTGCCTATAAATACACGGGCAAATCTCCTCTCGCCAAAACACAAAGCAGACAAGGTAGTAGTACAGGCTTTTGTACGTACGTAGCAGAGGGAGTTCCCAAGATGGCTGGGGCCTCTGCCAAGGTCGTCGCGATGCTGCTCTCCGTGCTCGCCACGTACGGCTTCGCCGCCGGCGTCGTCTACACCAACGACTGGCTCCCGGCCAAGGCCACCTGGTACGGCCAGCCCAACGGCGCCGGACCCGACGACAACGGTGCGTGTAGTACATGCATTTTTTGCAAATTACGCTGTCGTACGTATGTGCTCTTCTGACATTCGAATGCTGACACGCATTGGCATTGTTCGATCGATACGCAGGCGGTGCGTGCGGGTTCAAGAACACCAACCAGTACCCGTTCATGTCCATGACCTCCTGCGGCAACGAGCCTCTGTTCCAGGACGGCAAGGGCTGTGGCGCCTGCTACCAGGTATAGTATAACCACGTTCGTGATCACATATGTTGTTTTGGCTTATCGACACGGTCTCCAATAAATAGTACATCTCAACATTAACCTTTGTACCCTACATCTGAAAAGTGTACAAAACAGTGGGTATGGAACTTCTGATCATAAATAAATCCGTACCAACATAATTTTGTTTACGAGCACCGTACTGCCCGCCACGTTAACTGCAGTTGGTGGTAATCACAACTTGATTGGTCAACGGGCCTTGAAATCCGTGGGTAACACGTTCTTCAGTTCAGCGTTTGACTTTGTGCTAGCTGCTGCTTAATTACATGCACATATGGATTAATTTTGCCCTTAATTATATTCCTCATCATCAGATACGGTGCACCAACAACCCGTCGTGCTCCGGGCAGCCCAGGACGGTGATCATCACGGACATGAACTACTACCCCGTGGCCAGGTACCACTTCGACCTGAGCGGCACGGCGTTCGGCGCCATGGCGAGGCCGGGGCTGAACGACCAGCTCCGCCACGCCGGCATCATCGACATCCAGTTCAGGCGCGTCCCGTGCTACCACCGCGGCCTCTACGTGAACTTCCACGTCGAGGCCGGGTCCAACCCGGTGTACCTCGCCGTGCTGGTGGAGTTCGCCAACAAGGACGGCACGGTGGTGCAGCTCGACGTCATGGAGTCGCTCCCCAGCGGCAAGCCGACGCGGGTCTGGACGCCCATGCGCCGCTCCTGGGGATCCATCTGGCGCCTCGACGCCAACCACCGCCTCCAGGGCCCCTTCTCCCTCCGCATGGTCAGCGAGTCCGGCCAGACCGTCATCGCCCACCAGGTCATCCCGGCCAACTGGAGGGCCAACACCAACTACGGCTCCAAAGTCCAGTTCCGTTGATCCATCGATCGATCTACCTATGTGCATGCAATGCCTTCGTCGTCTTGTGTCGCCGGTCAAGAACGAATTTTGATTCTACCGATCGGCAGTTCGGCACTAGTACTGTACTACGATTCTGTGTGTGTGTGTGTGTGTGTGTGATTGCAATGCAAATTGCGAACGGATCAATTAAGAGCGTTTTTTTCTCTCTCTCTTTTTAATTTGTAGTTGTGTGTGTCAGCGAGATGTGTGGGAAATGGAACAGGGGCAGGGCACGCAGTATCCATGTGCTTGCTCTGAACCGCCCACATTGACAAATGACCCAATGCCAATATGCCATATATATATACCGGATTGGCAGACTTATTGTATTGTGACCAAAACCAAGTTTGTAATTGAACTGAATTAATACGGTGTGTTTGCTTATCAGATCACAGAGTAGTACAATATCACACCATTAGCAGCAGCAGCAGCATGGGTTGCTCAGTACACGCGAGCCGTACTACGGCGGATGCACGTGAGGTGCCCCGGGCGCGTACGCACAACAAAAACGTCCGTCATGTGTGGTCGAGGTTCATTACACTGTCTTGCGTGAAGCCATGTACCGTAAGCTGGAAGCAGCACGGTTGCAGCGGCCATGGTGCATGTTCTTGCGTGTGAGCGCGCGGTTTTGTGTGGTGTAAGTTTGTAATGATGGGGTAGGGCATGTTCTAACTGAAGTTGACTTAATTTTATTATCCAAAGACAAATTAATTAAATCACAGTCTGCATTCCGTATCAGCCAATTCTTTGTCTAAGGGTCTGTTTGGTAAAACTCTAGCTTCAGCTTCACCTCTCCTAATGCTGGAGCTCAGCCAAACAATTTCATCTCTGCCTAAAATAAGAGCGAAGTTGGGTGAAGCACTCTCATAAAATGAACCAGAGAGGTGGAGCTGTGTATAGGCTGCTCCACAACTTCACTTCAGACTTAACTCCTGAAACTAAATTTAAGAGTTGGAGCTCTACCAAACATGCCCTAAGTTCCATTCTTTGATTAGAAGCAGTAAAACTAGATGATAGTTGAGAAAAAAAAAGGGGAACTTATATCAAGTAAAGAGAGTACAAAATAGGTAGGAGTTGGCAAAGTACCAATACTATGGAGACATAGTCGTGCTCACACCCTCAACTCCGCTTTCAAAAGGACTTTTATAAGAGTAGGGAGTTGCCGTTGGTCTATTCATTTCTTTCAACATGTATTAGAGGACGCACCCACAGCTGTGTAAGTAAAGTAAGATACAAGCATACCTGAAGGTTCAAAAAAAAATCCTATATACAAAGTATCAATAAAACTTGATCCACCTCACTACCAATGGTGGAGCTAAGGCCCAGCCGAACGGAGCTCCTCTGACGTAAAGTCATAGAGACGTGGGTCCCTGACAGGTGATGTCCTAACAAATTTCAGCAAAAATTTGAAGCTGTATAGTGTGAACTTGAGTTTTAAAAACATGAGTCCAGAGTTTTACTTATGTCCAATGGGTATGGCCGTATGGGAAACTTAAGGGCTCCTTTGAAACATATAATTTTGAAATAGAGGAATACATGAAAAATACAAGAATAGGACAGAAATGCACGTGTAAAATAGATGATTCAAAAACATATAAATTCTAGGAAAATAGATGTTTGGATGAGGTAAAGGACAAAATGGAGAAAAATTCAGAAAATTATGGACCCACTATAATAGCTTGCTCTGTTATCTTTTGAATAATCACTTTTTTCTTTAAGGTTCCTTTATGGATTGATTTGTCCATAATGTTTTAAATTAAAATTCTCATGGCTTTGATTTTGGAACACAAATTTCGTGTTAAAAATGTATTTTTGCCAAATAAAAAGGAGTGTAACCTAATTCAACTCGCTACATCATGAGTACGTAGGTTTCACCCCAGAACAATATCATGTATTTAGATTTTATTGGTCTTGCTTGTTGCACAGGCCTAATCCGAGCTACAACTTAATATTTAGATTGTGGTTCTAAAATTCCTTGAGAATTTACGGTACATCTGACACTGGGTATAGCTAATCAGTAGATAGTGCAGATAGTGTTAGAGCATTCATATAAACCCCATGAGTATTAATTAAGGTGAGTTCACACACTATGCATAAATATAATAGAGATTTGTGTAGTGTATAGAACACACCTAACTCTATAATAGGATCAACACCCATCAGGGGCGGATCCAAGAAGAATAGTAGTAATGTCTGAACAAACTAGAACAAAGCTACAACAGTCCGCTCTCCTATCTACGTATGAAAAAAAAACATGTGGGGGCTTCATGGGGGCTCAAGCCCTAGATCCGCCTCTCACACCCATGGAAATTAAAGTGGATTTCTTCATGAATACTACTCACTCCATCTCAAAATATAACAACTTTTAGCCTTTAGGATTTGTCCCAAAATATAACAACTTATTCACCAACATTCCATTCTCAACCAATTACAACCCTTCACCATTCAATTTTCCCACAAACCTTCACTTATCAACCAATCATAATATTCTATAATTTCTTTTTACCTACTTTATTAATAACCATGTCTAACTCTAAAACTCTTTATATTCTGGGACGGACATAGTAATCTTTATTTAAAGTACCTGGTATTAAGGGAAGAACCCCTTTGCTATGCTTGGTGTTTAAGACCCGTGTTTGCAGTATAGAGCCTTTGCTATGATAAAAAAAAAATTCTCTTGATGCCTCTTCTAGTTTTTTACACATTGCCTTTGTACATGTTTAGTACTGCTCCCTCAATTTCAAATTGATCTACATATAGTTTTTTTTTGAGGTTATTCCTAAATGATTTACATATTTGTGTTCATTTATTAGGTCTATTCGTTATTTGTGCCTGGGAATAAATGGACATTGATGCATGCATCCATGCGTACACAAGCATTTATAACCCACATGCAATATCTTGATTTGCTATTGGCTAGGAAATAATGGGGATGATGTATGCATTGAGTTTGTTGCTAGAGTAAATATAGTATGAGAGAGTTATTAGCTTTTCTTGATCTTGGTGTACCCATGAAATATATAGATCAATTTGAAATTGAGGGAGTAAGGGCACCCGCAATGGTTATCTATAGGCTCTCTATAAGAGATCCATGTCAGCATATTTTCCTACTTGGAATAGATTAAATGAAGAGAGAGAGAGCAAAGCTATCTACTAACCTGGAGATAATCTATAGAGAAAAACGAGACAATGCATGAGAGAGCTATAGATACCCATGTAGACATACTATTGAGGTGGTTTACTATTAATCTAGTCTATTGCTGAGATGTACATGTTTTATAGAGAACACCTTACTTTACCATTGCGGGTGCTCTAATTCACTATTCACAGTTACTAATGGATGTGTCAGTGTATATACTACTATATAACCAGACTCACCAGCCAGAGCCCAAAGCACCGTATCTCGATACGGTGCATATGTCAATGATTGTATCACTGTGTGGATGTGATCGGTATATCCTCGCATCATTTTTTTTACTTAAGAGCACCTGTAATGGTAAAGTAAGGTGTTATCTATAAAACATGTACATCTCAGCAATAAATTAGATTAATATTAAACCACTTCAATGGTATGTCTACATGGGAATCTATAGCTCTCTAATCTATTGTCTCGTTTTTCTCTATAAACTATCTTCAGGTTAGTAGATAGCTTTGCTCTCTCTCTCTTCATTTAATCACTTCCAAGTAGAAAAATATGCTGACATGGATCTCTTGTAAAGAGCTTATAAATAATCATTGCGGGTGCCCTTAAAACACCGGTGGGAAGTCAGCAAAGTCGTGCTTGGCATGTGTCCTGAATCTTAGTGAGATGCCTTCTTTCCATTCACTTTTTGCAGGGTATCCTGTAAGTTGTAACTACCATATATATCCACATTTTTGTAAGGGACAAAAATACGGCTAGTATGCAACTATGCTGTCTATGCACATATGTATCACACTACCGTGTCACTCTGTCAATACAATATTAGAGTTGGCGATTATATTTAGGACGGTCACTAGGTGGTTTCACACTACCTACGCGTTAGTTACGCACAATGGTGATACTACAATGATATGGTCACCCTAGAAGAGCGTTGGGTACAAATGATTGCTTCAAATGATACCGAGATTATTGTCCCTAATCAACCTGCCCCTGCTGATTGATCTCTCTCTGTGATTGCGTGGTTATTTCTGGTGCCTTATTATGGAATCTCTTCCGTTCCCCGAAACAACGTCAATGACCCATCATGCAATCGATCTGTGCATGCATCGATCTAAATCTGAAACGAGAAACTATATACATATTCTGGAATATAATCGATCATTCATCTTCCTTACCACAAAAAAAAAATTCATACGATCGATCATTTGGCAGGTACGTATCGTCCACAATATCATAACATGGGATAACTGCCAAAGATGTGATTTTATAATGGTACGAACTCGTGAACCGAACCCTCCATCCGTCCATGATTTTCTCCCTAGCCATGTGACACAGCTAGCTCTCTCTCTACCACGCCGGCCGGTGGCCACGTCGGGTGCAACGACCCCTTGATGCCGCCGTGTTGCTCGTCCATTACATTTGGTTCCCTTCCCCTCTCGTTTTGCCCTGCCTATAAATACACCGGCAATGGCCTCCGATTCCAACCATCAAACCACACACCAGACAATACTTACTACCACTACTACTGCTGCTGCTGCCAGTTCTAGCTAGCCTACTGCTCTTCTCCGAGCTGAAGATTTTTCGAGCTAGCTAGGATGGCAGCCAGAATGGGCAGCAAGGTCGCTGCAATCCTCGCGATTCTGTCCGTGCTCGTGGTGCATGGCTCTTGCAAGGGGCATCCTGTGAACTACAACGTCTCCGACGCCTCCGCCTACGGCTCCGGCTGGCTCCCTGCCCGGGCAACCTGGTATGGCGCTCCCACCGGCGCCGGCCCTGACGACAACGGTGCGCATTTTGCAGCTACTGATGATGCTTGTGGTGCTCATCTGTGCTTTTGCTTGGTCTCTGAACTGACGCATTGGCATTATTTGGTCGGTTTTAATTTGCAGGCGGCGCTTGCGGGTTCAAGAACGTGAACCAGTACCCATTCTCGTCCATGACCTCCTGCGGCAACGAGCCCATCTTCAAGGACGGCAAGGGCTGCGGCTCATGCTACCAGGTACGAAAAAACTAGTCAAATTACTTCACCATGGCACCAATTTTGCAATTAGCAATCATTTGATTTGATTGGTCAGGACGTACTACTACTACATTTTTCTATAGCATGCATGTAGGAGTAACATGCAGTGCGGCACATTTTGTTGACCATTTGTTTGACTTGGTTGTTACAGATCAGGTGCAACAAGGACCCGTCGTGCTCGGGCAACATCGAGACGGTGATCATCACCGACATGAACTACTACCCCGTGGCCAGGTACCACTTCGACCTGAGCGGCACGGCGTTCGGCGCCATGGCCAAGCCGGGGCTCAACGACAAGCTCCGCCACTCGGGCATCATCGACATCCAGTTCAGGCGCGTCCCCTGCAACTACCCGGGCCTCAAGATCAACTTCCACGTCGAGGAGGGCTCCAACCCGGTGTACTTCGCCGTGCTCGTCGAGTACGAGGACCTCGACGGCGACGTCGTGCAGGTCGACCTCATGGAGTCCAAGTCGGCGTACGGCGGCGCCACCGGCGTCTGGACGCCGATGAGGGAGTCGTGGGGCTCCATCTGGCGCCTCGACTCCAACCACCGCCTCCAGGCGCCCTTCTCCCTCCGCATCCGCAGCGACTCCGGCAAGACGCTCGTCGCCAACAACGTCATCCCGGCGAACTGGTCCCCCAACTCCAACTACCGCTCCATCGTCCAGTTCAGCTAGATCAATCATCCACTGCTGATCGAATATGGAATCATATTGGCTCGCGATCGATCGATCGATCGATTAGTTTATTCTCTACTACTGCTGCTGCAAAATTTGCGTGGGATTGAGGTGTTTTTTTTTATTAGGCGAGGCCTCATGTGCTGTCTGGTCTAGTGTGTGAAGTGGTGAAGTGATGCATGTGTGGGAAAATGGAGGAGGGGCACAGTAATACAGTATGTGCATGTGCTCTCCCGCCCACTGTCACTGTACTACCCAGTGCTTTGTAACCAAATCTTAAGGCTACAGAATTATAAATACAATGCTTAAGTTAATTACCTAATCATGTGCTTCCTGGTGGCTCTCTCTGATAGATTCTCTGATTTAATCTCGTGTTCGGGTTGGTTAAGTAGTACGTGTCCATGTTCTTTCGTGGTACTCACATACATATCAAATTGATTTGGGAATCAACAATGTATGGATATACCGGAGGAGCAGATCTCTGAAAAATATGCCATTCTCTAATACCTGGAGAACTGTACTGCAGAATACCATTACGCTCCCAGTTTGAGGTGACTTTAGGCTCCCAGCAAACCAAACTAAAATCTGCCATATATTGTCAAAGTCTATATATATATATGGAACGAAGCGAATTGGGCGTACCTCAGATAAGAACTTCCATCAATTGTAAGATATGTTTTTTTTTTGAGAATTAATTGTAAGATATGTTGATTTGGTCTTTTCAAATAGGATGTGCTTGTGTGCGTATATGAATGTTTGCTTTGTACTATGTGTTTTGGAAAAAAAAAAAGGCTAAAAACTGGTAACAATTTTCAGACTGATATTATTACTACACATTGCCCCCAGCTTAACTTTAGATTCCATTGGATTTACCAAATTTTCAATTTCATTAGGAAATGGTTACCGAATTTTCATGTACTGATTATAAACCAAACAGTCAGTTTTGGTCAGCATTACCAATAGATAGGTTTAATGAGGCTAACAAACCCACACTAGCAACTGGGAATTAAATTTAGAGGTTGAGTCAGGGATTGGTACTTTATTAGTACAAATAGATCAAGAAAAAAAAAGGGAAAAAGTGCAGGCAGATCTCAAGCTGACTTGGAATATACCATTTTTCAGAACTGTACTGCTTGCTAGGCCGCAGCAGAGCGAAAAGCTTAACTTTATCTTTCTCTAGTTTTGGCAATCCTGGAAAGGTTCAGCATAATTGTTATCGCGAGGTGCAAATCAAGTATACTCAATTACGGTGATCACTGCGCTGATTGAACCCAAATGATACAAATCCCCAGCATTCTGGTATACTATCAGTCCAAGATATCGTTATCATGGTCGTTGGTAGCTTCAGTTAAGTTATGTGAGCTAGGCTCGGCAACGACGCCGGCTTCAAAATTACCTGCCGACCAACTGCATTCTCGCCGGAATTACTGGCGTTAAACCATCGCTCTTATATTTGCAAAGCTGACTCTTGACTACAATTAAGGTTAACTTCAGTGTCTGCACGCCTATCGAACTTAGATGCGACTGGCTTGAGGTCATAAATGGGAGTACTAACCGTGATGCACGCTGAAGAACTTGTCTCTTTTCTACTGTAATAAACACTTGTCAACGATGAATCGGTCATCGAGAAATGGAGAAAGTTAGCCCCATTCCGTGAAGCTTGATTCTTTCTGCAGCTCTGGATGCGTGCCAGCAGAGAAACATGACTGGTCATTCCATAGCTCAAGCCTGCAAAGGATTTAGGCTTTGTTTGAAAGATTAGCCTAATGTTTAGTCTTAAATTGATAAGCTAAATATTAGTCTAGAGTGACATGTTTGAATCCATGGACTAAAAGGTGAAGAGAGAGTAGATAGAGAGGGAGATAGAGCTGCTTTTTGATAGTCCCAATATAAAATTAGCTCCATTAGCATCCCTTGAAGGGACTGATGTTTTAAGGGGGGCTAATTCACTTTAGCCCCAAATTAGCCCACATATTTAATTCTTGGGGGCTAATTCAAGGCTAAAAGGTGAGAGATAATAATTAGTCCATAGAATCAATCAGGGCCTTGTTTTTTTGTGCTTCACATCAGTGATCGAAGGCAATAGTTTTTTTTGGAACTCACCATAAACCGGTTCAATTCCTGGCTCTGCTTAATTCGAAAAGTTTTCGCTCGAATTCCACTGCACCTAGGCCCTGTTTGGAAGATTAGCCCAGGGCTAATTTTGAGAGCTAATATTTAGTCATGAATTGGTAGGCTAAACATTAGCCTAGGGTGGTATGTTTGGATCCATGGGCTAATTCAAGGCTAAAAGGTAGAGAGAGAGTAGAAAGAGATGAGAGAGAGCTGTTTTTTTTATAGTCCCCATACAAAATTAGCCCCATTAGTACCCCTTGGAGGGGCTAATGTTTTGAGGGGGCTAATTCATATTAGCTCAAAATTAGCCCACCTGTTTGGATCCTTGAGGGCTAAACATTAGCCCATGGAACCAAATAAGGCTCTAATTACTCCCTCTATTTCATACTAAGTTTATTTCTTTTTCTCTCCCGCTTATCCAAATAAGTTCATTTCTAAATAATCATTACTCCTATATATATGTATGTGTCTAGATTCATTAACATTTATATAAATGTGGACAATGCTAGAAAATCTTACATCATGAAACGGAAGAAGTACATCAGAATTTCTAAAAATATGAAATAAATGTATTGGCAGTAGATAAAGTAAAAGTATTACATTCGATAAAAATATCGATACTCTAGTATTTTTTTATGTTTTATTTGTTTACGTGAGATATGTGAAAAAAAAGAACGATACCCTTGCACATCTCACGTTCACCTGACAGTTACCCAGACTGAAAAAGAGGACAAAGTAAACAGGCTCGACTGCGACGGCGCATGTGCGGGCTGAGACAATGTGGATTCACGCCGACGGCTGCTGCTCACCGGTGCATATATGACCGCTCTCTCTCGCTCGCTCGCTCAGATTCTCCGGTTGGTTGTTTGTTTTTTTGGCTATTCGGCACGCAAAACGGCGCTGTTGCAGCAGATTTCCAGGACCCACTGCGCGCTCTCTCTCACTCTACCCGTCCTCGCGTCGCCATCCATCCATCCACTGAGCTTTCGCCGGCCGATCCCCCGCCTCGCGCTCGTGCACCCCGTCTGCCGCCGCGCCGCGCCCCCCGCGTTCTCGCTGCGGCGCGGCTACGGCTGCACGCAAAAGGAAGAAAGAAAGAGAAAACCGTGCACTCCTCGACCAATGGCTGTACAGTGTGTTATGATGTGTGGATAGTACTAGTAGGAGTAGTAACAAACCTGCAGGTTTTGGGGCCTGCTTTTCAGGCATCGGTTTGTTCTTGTTGTCTGGCACGCTATTTATCCATTGTTATCCTGCAGACGGAATGTTTGAACTTTGAACTTTTGGTATCCATCCTGAAATGCATGCAGGTCAGGCTGATCGGTGCAGAGAACACGGCGAGATCGATTGCGAGTAACTTGCAACGTGATCAGAATGACAGGAACTCAGCGTAGTTTCATATATTTTGCAGTTGCTTACAAGCTGAAGCAAGTGAACACGTGAGCTGCCATTTGCACGGTGGCACATACAGATGGTCGCGTTGCTTGCAGAATTGCAGTGTGGTATGGTATGGTATGGGAGGATCAGGGGAACAAGTGGTGGTTACCGGGCGGAATAATGTAGACGTGGTCTGTTCGGATTTCAGGGAGTCCGGCCCTGACTGACCCGAGTGTATATCCCGTGATTAACGTGACCGGAGTGATGTGCACGTCGGCCTTTGTCGTGACAGGTTCGTTGAAAAGAAAAAACACACGAAAATTCATCCGGCCTCACATGACAATATGCCAGTGATCAACTGTTGGAGACGTCACTCCAATTTGACCCGGAGTGAGGAGGATTGGAGAGGAAAGCAAAATACCGAGACAATGAAGCCCACGTTGAGAGGCAGCCCGGTACACTACGCAGCCACATTTGACATTAGTAGTACGTTTTTTGTTCTTGTTTTTTTGGTTTGTTGGTGTGATTGGCCTAGCTTTGGCAAGGAGGCAGGGGCATTGAAAAGGTGAAAGCGGCAAGGGAGCAGCTCAGCTGAGCTCCCCCCATGTGCACTGCCTCGTCCGGTTCCTCATCACACGTTGATGAATCATTATGCTGCCTATACCAAGGGAAGGATATGGAATGGCCACCATATTAAAGCCACACTTGGATTAGTCGGATTGCGACATGTCTGTGGATATAACCAAACTATAGTAGCAATTTTGTGATAGAATCTACGTGATTTTAGAAGCATTATTTTAGTATATCATATTATTGGTAGAAGTTGGGGGGTTTGTCCCATCTTATCTTATTTTAAGCTTTTTTCTGTTTATTTTTGGATTTTTTTGGTTGTTTGCCTACGGGTAGAGGCCGGAAATGTAATCCATTTCCATTATTTAAAAAAGTAGCAAAATTATCAACGATGGAAATTGGATGACGGGTGGGCCGTCCAATCCAGTCTCGGGGCAAAAAACTGGTGGACATTGCTGGACCACTAACTACCGGGCCGGTCTGGCCGGGGGGGCCGGCAGGGCGGCGGCGAGTCGGTTTGTTTCGTGGAACAACGACCGGTTAACGATCGGTAAGACCGTGCTCCATCATTTGGTGTTTCTTCAGCTTGGACCCAGATGGATGGATGGACCGAGTTTTCGCTTTCTCTCTGTCTGCGCCATGAGATGCTGTTGTGTGGTCGCTCGCATTTGGATGGCCCACGGCTGGCCGCTGGCCTTTGCCTGTGGCCGTGGTAACATTGGAGGAACAAGTTAATTGCTGAAGGAAAAAGTCCACCTTTTGTCCCTTATATAAGAGTTGAGTTTCAATCGAGTCCCTCAACCAGAAAAACCGGGAACCTCATCTTATAAAACGGATGTAAATATAATCCCAAGATCCTACTTCCTCCGTTTCACAATGTAAGTCATTCTAGCATTTTCCACATTCATATAGATGTTAATGAATCTAGATAGATATATATGTCTAGATTCATTAACATCAATATGAATATGAGAAATACTAGAATGACTTATATTGTGAAACGGAGGGAGTACATGATACTTATGGTCAACAAAAAGAAATGAAATACGATGAGACTCACATGTCAGACACACACGAAAAAAAAATCCCTATCCCTGTGTTGGCAACCTTTTATGACAAGTTGACAAGCACAATTGCAACACCTAAAGCTTTGCGGTGATCCTAGAGTTGCCAACCACCTCAATTTAGCAAACGCTAAATCAAGATGGGTTTTGATAAACTAAACCAGCTAGCGGAGCCGATCTAGATAGAATGATGGATAACTACCCGTCTCGTGGGAAAAATGGAAGGTTTTCAGGACAAACCTACAAAGAGGTGTCGTACTCTCGCAGCGGCGGCGGACGATTTACAGCGCAAATCGACAAAGATGAACAAACTAAGTAAAAACTAAAAGCAATGTGAAAAACGATTCGATTGATTGATTGTTGATTGTGTCTTGACAATTGAACCGGCCTTGTCCGTTATATAGGGGTTGGTCTTGCCCTCTACAGGCCCTCCTCCACGTCCAACTCAGGATAGAAACCAAAGGAAACCCGAAACATGACTTCCCAAGCAAGGAAAACTCGAAACCCGACGAAACAGACTCGGGATCGGACTCTGCCGGTTAGACCGGCTACACACCGCCGGTCTGACAGACCTACTGGCGGCGGTCTGACCGACCAACGCACGGCGGTCAGACCGGCCATCTCAGAGGAAAACCGGCAGACTTCCAAACTTTGGTAATTTTCTCTATTTTATTCCTAGGTGCCAAATTTGGATGTAAACACCCCATCTCTTTCTCTACCAGTTCTTTAGATTAGGGCTACATTGTACCTGGTTTTGTAATTGAGAGACGCGGTTAAATGAAACCGAACATTAGTTGAGGGATGTAAGTGGACTTTTTTCCCATTGCAAAATGAACCAACACAATAGGGAGGAGAGGCTAGCAAACATTGATGTATTCGCAAAGGAAAAAAGTTCACCTAAGATCTCCCATCTTGTCACGAAGTTAAAAAATCGTCTTTGAACCGAAAATCAGATATATGGCATCCCTAAACTTATATAACCGGATCATTATAGGTGCTTAGGCAGTATTGACCCCGGTTCTCCCCGCCCGTTGCCAGCCATCCCGAAGGCTTGATTGAGATGGGAAAAGAGAGGATAGATGTCGAAGAAGATTGAGGTGCTGCCATATGGGTCTTACGTTAACTCAGCTACCACATAAGACAAAACCGGGGTTATTTATGGACGATTTTGTAACTTGGCAACAATACGAGGAACCTCAGGTGAACTTTTTTCCACCACGAGGTCCGTGTAATTCTTTCCTTCGGCCCACAAGAATGCAGGTCCTGGGTGGGATCGGAAACGCGTCATCACATCAGGGCGTCATCACATGTTCTAGCCCAACTCGCGGCGCATCACGTACACAAATTGCTGGCTTGACGAATGTTGAGAATCCCACGTAGGCCCAAATACGGAATAAGTTAACTTTGGGTCCCTCTATTTGTCACCCAGTCTGATTTTCATCCCTTGATCACAAAACCGGGTACGACAGGTCCCCCAACTTACGAAACCGTTTAAATAAGGTCCCTCGGTAGTATTTGACCCGGTTTTGGTTGAGGTGGCGCCTACGTGGCTAATTTGACTCGGTCTTCATTTGACGTGGCATTGACGTGGTGCTTATGTGGCAATTCGATCAAAAATAATAAAACCTACGGGACCCACATGTCATCCTCACTACCACTTCTCTCTATCCCCTTCTCTCTCCCTCTTCTCTCTCTCAGCCTGAGCGGCGGGGCGGAGCGGTGGCGGCGGGGAGGAGTGGTGGCGGCCGGAGTAGGGTAGGGAAGAGAGGGCCAGGCACCCGACGGCGACGGCCCCTACACCCGCGACCTCCCTCGCCGACGCGGCGATCCATGGGTCCCCCGCCGCCGCGTCGCAGAGCCAGAGCACGGTAGAGACGTAGGCGGCGGGGAGGTGGTGCTCGGGCGCGAGGCGGTAGTCGAGGGAGACGATGATGGCTGGCACGGTCGCAGCCATGGCCTCGCACGAGGCGTGGTAGAAGACATTGTCAGTGGAGAAGAGGACGAAGCTGCCGCCGTGGAAGTAGAGAATGATGGGGAGCTTGGATGCCGGTGGCGGCGGCGGGACGGGGTTGGGGAGGTGGTGAGGGAGGCGTCGAGCGGCACGTCGCGGGAGAGGACCGGGCCGAAGGCGGAGGGCGGCGTGTCGGGGGACAAAGGGGCGCATGATGGTGCCGTCCGAGTGGAAGAAGGGGAAGGGGAAGCTCCTCGCTCCGACGGGCGGCCGCTGACAAGCTTGGTGGCGGTGGAAAAGAGAGGGGCGACGGTGAGGTTGTATTCTCCTCTCTCCCCTCCCTCTTTCTCCACATCCGCACACTGCTTTGCTGCTGCCGATGGCATCGACAAGCGTGAGGAGGCGACGGTGGTGGAGGCTGGTTGCGGCAGAGGGCGTGCGCCGCTCCCTCTCCATCGCGCCTGAGAGAGGAGAGGGGAGAGAGATGAAGAAAGGGGAGAGAGGAGGAAGGAGAGGAGTGAGGATGACATGTGGGGGCCATGTGGGTCCCACCATTTTTTTTATTAATTTATGTGTGAAACTGACATGTGGTCCCACAGGGTTTATTATTTTTCTTAGATCAAATTGCCACGTAAGCGCCACGTCTGTGCCACGTCGGATGAAGACCGAGTCAAATTAGCCATGTAGGCACCACGTCAGCCAAAACTGCTATCAAAACCATCGAGGGACCTCGTTTGCCTGGTTTTCGTAAGTTGGGGGACATGTTGTACCCGGTTTTGTGGTTCAGGGACGAAAACGACAAATAGAGGGACCTAATGCAAACTTATTCTCCCAAATATTTTCCGGTGCCTTCATAGGCTACCAGAAATCCCGTTCCGGCCCGAAGGAGTTTGCTATAGCGGATCCGTGGGCTGAAATTGTTGACGTTTACGCGGAAATCCCAAGACCGCCGAATCTGCCTTTCTTTCTTCTTTTTCCCCCTTCATCCCCACCGTTCGCTCTGTCTGTGCGCCGGCGAGCGTTGCCGTGCCACCACTTGGCATCTCATATGCACATCTTTCCCATTGAAAAGTGAACCCCAAAATAGCACAAGAATAGCCAGCGTCATCAAACACATATAACCCGTTGGATGTCCATCGAAATGAAAAAAGACCATTGGATTGTATAGGGAGAGGTAGTAAAGAGTAAACGGTAATATCAAAACAAGGGTGCTCTAGACCCTTCCAATGCCTCACAAAAAGTGAAGTGTAGTAAGAATGAAAAAAAAAAAAAGATAAACAACTGGCCTACACCCCTACCTCCTATAAATCTCCAACCACCACCAACTCACTGTCTCTCCTCCACTAAAATGAATTATGTTCTTATGCGGTTACGCTTCAATTTTACACTTAAATATTTACAATATTCATATGTTACAATCACAAAATATTTGAAAGATTCTTTTATTTGTTAGGGTTTTTATTTTTTCTCATACTAATACACATATATTCTATCATAATAATATTATTTCTTAAAAAACACTAAATGTTTTATATGTTTTTCACAATAAACTCTTAAATTATAAAATACTATTAAAAGAATTTTCGTATATCGGATCAGAACCTTAATTTGATGTCTCGGACCTACTCGGCTATATCGTCATCACGTTCTTTTTTTGCAGCATAAATCTTATTTATGTTATTGAGTTTTCCAAATTTTCTATAAATTACTCTCGTTACTGATGATATAGTTAACATCTTAAAACACATTTGTATAATCCAACAATTAACAGCTAGCACTGTCTCTCTAGTTTCGTTTGTAACAATGTGGTAATGCTAGTTTAGCTGAGATGTTTACTTGACTGCAAGCTGTGTTGCGATAAAATATCACTACCATTCCTTTGACGATACAAACCTAGTACAATTTTTAATTTCAGGATATGGATAGATTTTATACTGTGAACTTCTGAACCTGAAAAATTTATCTTTACAAAATTTGGCATTGGCATAATTATAAATTTAAATTAAATTACAGGGCCCTGCAATGATATGTTGTTCGAGTCAATGAAAAGTGCATATATAAGGGACAGTCATCTACAAATGGATCAGCATTGAAGAGTGCAACGGATTAAACAATCCATGCAATTTACTCTCATAATAAGCTTATCTAATGTATACATATCCATTCATTAAAGCTATTCACATGGGATGACTATAAAACATCTCTCTCACCTGCTTTCTTCTCGATTGGTTTGTTTCCTTCTAATGGAGCAAAGTTTTCTGTTTGCTACAAGAAGCACTTGAGCTATCAATTGCCGTTGTTCTGCACATGTGAAAAACACATTTGTTGAGTCATCTCATAAATTCAGGCAGCAAACAAGAGTCATTCTGACCTGACATATGCAGACTGACACATACAAGAGATAACAATTTATAATTGTTGCCACGTTTATCTTTACGATCTGAATATGAAATAATAGAAGATTCAGATGCATTCTTTTTTGAATTTCCAGAAAGTTTAAAAAAATAACTCTATTCTTTTTTTTAATAAACTGCAAGTTTGTTTGATAAGTTTCATGTATGCTATATACAAATAATCTCCAATATGGGATCTTTCATGATATCCAAACCTAAACAATTAAAAATCAGCAGCCTCCCAATTAGCTCCTAGAAACCACAGTTCATAATAGTACACTGAAACAACATGGAAAACGCTGCTCTGTTTTTCCTAAAGTAATTATTTAATAAAAGCTTGTACTGCTTCTTCTTTAAACAGTCCACAATAATTGGATTGTCACATGCTACAGCTAACAAATTCAGGGGAGAAGCTTCACGACAGTCCCTGGAAGAGAATTTTACGGCAGAAAAGGAAAAAGAAAATCATAATTTACCCTGAAAGCAAATGCAGAAAAGTTATTCTTTTAACAAGGCTGCTTTTCGGCAGTTAGTCAGTTACTGGCCAAGTTTTAGTTGGTGGAAGTGCACATAAAGCTTCCAAATGCATACATAGGAGGTGTATTAATCAATGACCAACTACTATAGCTACAGCCTAATATATCCCAGAAAGAACACACCCAATCAGCCAATCTCATTTCAAAATGACTGTAAAAATTCAAGCATGAAGATAAATGCCGGCAGTGATCTGATATAAAAGTCTCTCCCCTTCAATTTGACTACACAGCAAATCTATTTCATCAGAAATTAGAAAGAAAACCCATTAGATTTAACTGAGAACGAGTACTATGCCACAAATATGCCTAATACCTGAACAAGGACGTGAGCGGCGTTGTGGGAGTGGACGACCGGTGGATGTCAATGGCGAAGAACCGGATCTGACAGCAATGTGGCGACTGGCGGTGGCGGTGAATCGTGTACGGCTGATCGAGGGAAGTTAGTCGGCAACGCAAGTATTGGAAAAAGGGATGAGCGAAACAAACATATTCGGGAATCAACCTCGAGGTCGACGATCGGCGGGTGGCAATGGGCAATCGGCGGGCGGCGTGGTCGTGGTCGACGGGGATCGATCGGCCAGGCGGTGATGGCGTGGCCGCGGAAGACGGGCAGCGACTCGTGGCGGCGTCGAATCGGCCTATGCAGTGCGACCGTGAGGGCGGCGAGGCGACAGTGATCTAGCGAGAGATGGAACGCGATGCGAGGGGATGTGTTGCGGGCTTGCGGCCTTGCGGGGGATTTGGCGGAGATCGCGTTGTTGGAGGGGATGGGGAGGAAATCGCGGCAATACTGGCGGCATGGATGCGAAGTGGGAGAGAAGAAGGTGTGGGACAAGAGGATCTGGGAGGGAGGAGAGGCGCGCCTCCAGTGCCATCGGATGTAAATCATCAGATGACTTTAGATCGTTGGATGTGTGATATGATGAATGATGAATGAGTAAAACTATTTGTTGAACTATAAGGTAGATGCAGTGTCAATGTTAGTGACATCCAACAATGACTAGGTTTAGTTTGTTTTGTACAATACTGATTATACCCCTCTATTTATCTATAAATCTTAATTTTCGCATTTTATATTACCAACATATATCCATGCAATAGGATTGATTATTTCTTTGATAACCCGTAATCCGTACTATGGGATTAGAGCTGTCAAAAAAGCTTGAGGCTTAGCAAGCAGCTCGAGCTTGACTCGTCCTATGCTTGATTCAAGCTTGGATCGAGCTCCAAACGAGCCTAACCTGAGCCTGAGAAAAAAGCTTGAAAGCTCTACCGAACTGAACTCGAGCTTTTACCGAGCTTGACTGTGTGTAGTTCATATTGTTTATTCACATTATTGATTTAATAAACTAATAGATCAATATATATATTAGTATCTAATTACACAAGAAACTAGCATGTGTTAGCGTAATACATTTATCTTAGTCATTTTCTACTCTCTTTTTTTAGTGTGATCAAATAGAAAATAATTATACTTCTCAGGATATTATCATTAAAATAATATATATTATACTACTTATTGCTGAGCTTGAGCTCGAACAAGCTCAAACCGAGCTTGAATAAAAGCTCGAAGGTACAATAGGCTCGGCTCGAGCTTGGGTAGAAGAGTTTGCTCAAACTTGGTGATGTGAACAAGAATCCTTCTTTCATATCAGTATTAGTTGGCTCACATAATTCTGTTATTTTGGTTGGTATAAATTTTATTTATGTGAATGATGGTAAGGGTAAAAAAGTTGTTATGATAACTGTTATATTTATGGAGCCAAAGAAGAAAGAACGGCCTAAAATTAATACAAAGCCGAGTACGGCTTTTTATGAAAGGGATCATAAGACCATGGTTACGCCAAATATTTTTACTGTAGCTGTTTCGCACTGCAAAGACACAAATATTTTGTTCCTTTACTTCCTGAAAAATGGAAGAGTAAAGAATCAAAAATGGTAGCTGATGGTGTTTTTCCACAGTGCCAGACAAACTTCGTTGGTGCTTATCTTGTGGCTAAGAACAACATTAAGTTTATTCAGGTTGATTATATGCATGTGGAGCTGCCAACTTCACGAGGAAGCATGTCTGCTAATTAATTTAATAAAGTGACACTTAAATGTCAGCATTAGGCAAATGTGCTGTAATATTTTATTATATATTTTATTTTATTAGCTGAATTCCATCTTAATCGGGGTGTGTCCCAATGTTTCACCACCGTCGCCGCCGTCATTAAATACGGAGTATAACATTGGATATATTTTGATCAGTCGAGCCCGACCTACACGCCGAGTTGGGCCGTGTCCGCCCACTTGTTGAACCATTGGCCTAGGCAATGACGGCCCGACTCGAAGACACAAAAGCTCAGTGTGCTCCTAGTTGGAAAAAGTCTATTGGCTCCCTTATCTTTTTGGACAGTCTTGACATGGCTAGAATAAGTTTATTTTGTATCCCTTGTCTATTTGGGTTGTGTCTTGAAATAAGTCTATTATTCCTCCCTCATGTCTTGCTCTTGATCTAATCGTATCCTCAACCGCAAAACCAAGT